CAGCATTTCTGGTCACATTTTAAGATAGATTCACGGGAGAACTTAATTGCTCAAGAGTGTGAAGTATTGGAGTAATATCTCCTTTATGAGAAATGACATTTTCCCCGTAAAGTTTATTCCAGGGCCAGTATCTAAAAAGATTGCTCTAGGGGTTAGAGAGATGATTCTCTGGTTAAGAGCACTGACTACTCTTTCAGAGGACCAGGGTTCAATTCCCAACACCCACATGGTGGTTCACAACTGTGTGGAACTCCAGTTTCGGGGGATCTGATGCCCTATTTTGGCCTCAGAGGCCACTACAAGCACAAAGTGCACAGGCATACATGCAGGAAAACACCCACATACATAAAATAAAACCAAAATGGAAAATGTAGTTCTATATCCTCACCTACATTGTACAATTAATAAGTAATACATAACCATTTGCTTTAACGTATATCTCTTTGCCCACTGAGTTTTACTGCTTCCAAGTTTGTTTTACTTTTTCTTTTTATTATTGTGGGTTTGGGGTGTGTGTGTGTGTGTGTGTGTGTGTGTGTGTGTGTGTGTGTGTGTACACGGTGCCCTCTGGTGGTCAGAGGACAACTTTCAGGAGTCAGTGTCAGTTCTCTCAGCAATACCTGCACCGTAAGCGCTTTAGCCTCCTGCCCCCCAGTCATGCTGCTGGCCCTGAGGCCCTGAAAAGCCCCCAAACTCATGGGTTGGGTGCAATGGAACACAGATGTAAGTGTAGAGTACACCCTTAAGGAGTAGAGGCAGGTGTGCTGTGAGTTCAAGACCAGCATGGTTTACAAAGAAAGCAAGTTCTAAGTCAGTCAGAGTCACACAGTGAGACTCTATCTCAAAAGACTCACAACAAAATACTCAAGAAACACTTCCTTCTTGACCTGGCAGTCTGCACTGTTCATCAATCTATTTGCTAGCACACCTTTTGCCATCAATCTGTGTGAACTATTTGTTAATACATTGCAGCAAGTACAACAAACATGCTTTTGTTTGGTTATTGGGTTTTTAACTTCATTTATAGTTTTGAAAAAAGGCAACATATTCCATTTTATGGGTTTTCCAGAATCTGGCACATAAAATGTGCTCAGTAAGTTTTTGTTGAATAATGTAATCAATTGAATTTATTTTTCCTTTATGTTTTCCAACATTGTTTTCTTCCTTAGAGAAGTATTTTCCATGTAGGAGGTAAAAATATTATAAATTATTTTGTAATTAAAAATATTTACAAAGTAGCTAATGTATTTTTCTTCGCATAAAGTCCTCAATAATTTCTGCAGCATTTTTTGAATAGCCTTCCTTTTCCCCAGTGTTCTGTAAAACCTCCTGCACCTTACAATAAACTCACATTTGTGGCTTTCTGATTTTAGGTTTTCTTCCATTAATTTGTTTATTCTTGTGGCAAAATACAACTTTAATTATCAAAGTGTTAAAACTGGGCTGAATACCTGGTAGAGTTAGGCCATCACTTCATTATTCTTAAACAAAACAGTCAAACATTTCTCATTTGCTTTTTCTTATTGATAAGCACTCTGTCAAGTATTCCTAGCCTTTGATTCGAATTCCTGTATTGCAGAGGGGCCCAGCCCTGTGCAAAGGCAGTTTGGTGGACTCCTGACCTGCCATTTATATTGCAGGGCCCCTTGGCAGGTTCTTTAATCACTTTGTGCCTCAGTTTCCTCAATCTGTGAAATGAAGAAAACAATAGTTCTTATCTCGGACGACTATTGAAGATATTGAAGTATTAAGCCATTCAATGAATATATAATAATGTAAAACATATACTAATACATATTGATTTCTTAAAAGAATGCCCAGCACACAGCAAGGACTGAAGTGTCCACTATTGTTAAGTACTGTTAGTTGAAGGCAAAAAAAAAGTTTTATAAAATTCTCATCAGGAATCTGAAGAACTTAAGAAATGTCTCTTGGCAAGACCTCTTTCACTTTTCCACCGGACACTTGTCAGCTGTTCCCTGGTGTTACTTGCTAAGTATCCTTGCCTTTCACTGCCCTGGATGGGCCCTCCTTCCCTAATCCTTATCACACAGAGCCTGGTTCTATCGATTCTCTCACACCACACTGTCTTTTCTCAGATAGGGCTTTCTCTGTCACCTTTTGCTTCTTTCTTTCAGAAATGAATCGTCTTTAATACATCCCCATGAAATAGCTCACTAAAGGTGTGATCACATAAATTTAACACATATGACCAAAACTTCTAAAAATGATGGCATACAAAGGATAAAAGGAGTATTAAAATAATTGTATGTTAAGCATTTTGAATTGTCATTTTTCATTAATTAAATTTATATATATATCTCAAGCAAATCTCTATGACTTTAAGGCTAGTCTGGCCTACACTGGAGTTCCAGACCAATTAAGGATACATAGTAAAATCCTGTTTCAGAAAACCAAACCAAACCAAACCAAACAACCAAACAAACAAAAAAACAAAAACAAAAAAAAAAAAACAAAACCCAGCAACAACACAAAATGAATTGCATTGTTTGCCCTCTCTGTCTCCATCCCTGTCACCACTTTCTACAAAGTCCTTTGCCACATAGGTGTCTCTGTTCTGTTTTGTGCCCTGCTATATACTGAGATGGAGGGGAAGGGAAGGCCGGTGGTGAGTAGCTTTCCTCCGTGGTCTCTGATGCTTCGTACATGTCGCTTCCTATACACTGTGGTTCCTTGCGGAGATAACCCCTCACCCCCAAGGATGTTTGGAAATGTCAGGAGACACATTTGGTAGAGACAAATAGACTCAGGAGGCCATGCTATTTCCACCTAATGAGTAAAATAGCCTAAAACTCGCAGGATGGCCCTCATGAGAAATGCATACCCGTAGGTGTTGAGAACCCCACCTGATAATGGTCTGTTCACTGTCTAGATTTTCAAGCACCTTGATAATTATGTTGCCCACACCCAGAAAGTTCAGCAAATGTTCACTGGATGAATACATATTTTTTCTAATGTCACAATTTCTATGTCATTGCTTAGTCCCTTATGATTTATATTTGAGAGAGGGAACCAAGGGGCGTAGTTTTCTTTCCCCCAGGAAGGAACCTTGTCTACACTTAGTCATTTAGGAACAGGTTGTCCTTGGGCTGTGAGCCTAGTGAGATGCCTCTTTTGTTCAGGAAGGCAACTGAAGTCTTTTGCCTAGAGTTCTTCTGGAGAAAAAGTTCTCAATCTGTGGGTCATAACCCCTTGGTCGAATGACCTTTTCACAGGGAATGCCTAAGACCATCAGGAGACAGATATTTATATTATGATTCATAACAGTAGAAAAATTGGAGTCATGAAGTACCAATAAAAATAATTTTATGTTTGGGGGTCACCACAAGATGAAGAATCATATGAAAGGATGTAGCATTAGGAAGGTTGAGAACCACTGTTCTGGAGGGTTATGTTGTATGTTATTGTTTCTTGTTGAGCTTGGGAGTCTGTGCTTGCATTCCCAGTGGAAATTTTGAAACGTCATTTCTTTCATTTCAAGGACAATGAAAAAGAAACTCAAACAGTCATGTCCTGGGTTTTCTGGCTAACTCCACATAGTTTCTGTTTCTGCTGCTCCCAGTATTTCTACCAGAGTCAGCCAACTGATATCCTCGATTTCTAATGAGCAAAACGGGTCGAGGGACTTTTCCTCATTCAGTAGTACCCAGGTCTCCAACCCTGAAGGCTTGTGCCTGGCAGTCTATGCCCATGTGCGTTTTACATTCCGCTTTTGTACATTACCCAACTATGGCAATTGCCAACAGAAATGCAGAGTAAAGAACTTTATCCATATAATTCAGAAATAACTCTGTTGATGTAGCTATTGGAGCTAGATTTCAGAAACACTATGGTAGCCTTTCCTCGAATGAGCAAGCCCACAACAAGGAAGCACCAGCTCTCAGACATCTAATGGCCATGGACATTTTGTAAATCAAACCCATTCAAATAGAAACTCTGCACCAACAGTTGGGATCACTCCATATACAGATAGGAAACCTATAAATGGACAAATCTCCATGTAATTGCTCTCCTCTCTTGCTTCCTTTCTGGGTGTCTAAGTCTTGACCCTGTGGTCAAATGGCAAAGCCTACGTGGGGAATGTCCCATGGTGTTTTTGATTCTTCCTACAATACCCAACTTAGACCAATTCCCCTAGTTAGACTTCTGTGTATATCTAAGGAAGGAATACATAAGCAAAAAAAATGATGTGTTTGTTCATTTTCTTATTTGATTGTGCAAGTGAAAGACACTTTCAACATTCTCTTGTGACTTGAAGTGCTCTTCAAGTTGAAATGACCAATCCACTAAGCAAAAAATGCCCGTGCAAACTTTTGTGATTAACAAGCAGATGTGGGGAGGGGGCTTGGTCACCCTTGACACCTTTCCCTCATGGCAGAACTCATTTCCTGTGCTGGGAGGTTCTGGAGTACTGTTCCTTGAGACCAGTACATTCTGGAGGTCAGACACCCGGAGGTCAGAGACTCCCCACCCCCAAGCACAGGCCCATCCAGTGCACTGTTGAGAACGCTATCTCTTTCCTTCAGGTCTTTTCCATGGCTCCAATTCTAGTCTTGCTGTTAGCTTCAGAATTCTTGGGAGCCAGGGCCAGGCATGGGAGGTCTGGATAGAGAGTCTGTTCAGGACCTAACCAGTCTCTGACTCAGCAAGGGGGCTCTTGGGTCGGAGAAAGTGGCCAGTGTCTGGATGTTTTGAGTCCTGTTCTAGAGGGTAATGGAGACTCTGTCATTGCTCACGTAAGAGCAATTAGAAAAATGTGTCCTTGGGAGAACTGGACACCAATGGACAGAAGTGTCAACATCTCCATAAAATTTATCTCCCTATACTTCTATTCCAATCATGGTGCTAGAGTCTATTGCTCTTGTCAAAATTAAATCTTAGTTTCTCTGGCTTCTTGGTCCCTCTTCTAGGGTCTCAGGTATAGACTACTTTCTCTTCTCTACCCCCATCCACCCTAAGAGCAGGCACCTGGTCCTTACCTGGCAACCCCAGCAGGGTGAAGTAACCTCGGCACTCCGTGAAGCCAGAGCTCTCTCGGACACAAGAACGCCATAGGCCTTGGTAGTTGAATACAGCCGTCACTGGGTTGTTGTATAAGTCCTGGGTGCTCCACTGGTCCATACAAGTGGCTGCAATGACGCCTGCAAACCCGATCAGTGAAACCACAAAGCCCAAGCCCTGGCAGGCGGTAACAGACATGATGGAGACGAGTGTCCACACAAACTCAGAGGACAAAAAAACAGGCAAGTTCTGAGGGCACCCAGTGTAGGGTTGGCGTTTTCTCAGAGAGGCTGGTGCACACGTCACAAATGAACCGTGTGATGGAGGGGGGACTCACCAGTGCCACCTGGGCTGGCCTTGTTTCTTTATCTACCGAAGAGAGATAATTTCCACAACATGGTACCAAGAGCCATTTGTTTTCCGCCATATGTACACTCTGCTCACTGTTTGCCTTTGAAGGGAGTTTCTTTTCTGATTAGCCAGACTCTCCTCTGGAGAGGGTGAGCAACTGCAGGGTTGGCTGCTTAGGAGGTGTGGCATGTTGGTCAGGAGGGACTTTCAGGCTCTGGGTTCCAGTGCCCCACTGATATTTCGATGGAGGATATGGAGCTTCTTTGGGGACTTCCTAGGGCACTTTCACCTTAGTTAAAAAAGCTTTGGCAAGATATGTTGAAATAGAATTGATTCTCATTCATCATGGTCCTTATGTTTAAAGAAAAATCACAATATTGAATTAGTAAATTCTGAACCGTTGCCGGTAGGGGAAAATACACTGTTTGGTTCTTGTGAACCTATGGTCACAGTTTTATCATCAATAGATAACTTTATTTTATGTGTACCTCTATTTAGTGATGCCTAATTTAATATGTAGTTTTGATTTATTATCATTGAAATTATAGAAAGTAGTATAATCATGCCTACCATCTCACATATGTGCTTTCTTCATGGGGAATGTAGTAACCTACTCATGCTTATAAACAGAACTTTAGCACTGTCTGTGGTGGCTATTTTAAACAGCAGGGTCAACAGGAAGTGAGGAAAACATGAAAAAGGAGTCACTAAATACTCATCAGAAAGGACACTTGCTTCCAGTATGGGAGCACAAATGTAGAAGGCAAGAGTTATTCTGCTCTCCCCTCAGTTGGAAACACACAATTTGGGCAACTCAAAGTCTTACCATCTGTACATGCCTAGATATGGCTGTGGAAGGGCCGCACATATTAACTTCAGTTAACATAAATCTTAGTAAACTTTGCAAATATGGAAGACGCACACAGTGAAGATCCACTTTTGTGGATAGTTGATGGAAGGGATTAGTTAGCGGGGCTAAGTCATTCACAGCTTCTGTGGCATGAGAATGAATTCTGCATAAATCAACAGGTAGAGCCCAGTGGAAGGTTGAGGACAGAAGTAAGCTGCAAGAAGATGTTTGGGCTCTGGAGCTGTACATCATGGGCTCAATGCCCATCTCATTGTTCACCAGCCAAACACAGACAGACAACAGCAGACCGCTTAACCTCTGTGAGACTCATGGTCTCCATCTACAAAATGAGATAGCAGTAAATGTAATAACAGTAATAGGGTTGAGTCATCTGGATTGTTTTGTAGATTACACATAAGAGTAAATGTGCAATGTTGAGTGTCATACACAGAACACTCCTCAGAAGACACTGGCAAATACCAAGACCAGAGAAATGATGATGCTACCAGCAAATGCTTTAGCCGTTGGTAATAACTGTCCTGGTGTATCTATTCATGCGAATCACAAATCAAACCTCAACCTTCTCTCACAAAATATCTCTAGTTATGGAAAGACTTAAGTTTTTAGCCCATATATTATATTATTTCTACTATTTTTTTTATTGGTGTGTGTGTGTGTGTGTGTGTGTGTGCAATCTGATGAATATCTGTGGTGTATGAGAACACTATGCACAGTTAACTCTTGTTGACAAGGTCTCTCACTGTACTTGGAGCCAGACTGGAGTCCCTCATGTCCTCCTGTTTCCTGTCTCTCTCGTAGAGCTAGAGTTACACGCACGCTCATGACCACGCACAGATTTTTATGTGAGTCCTGAGGGTCTAAACTCAGTCAACGTGTTTGTACAGCCGGTGCTTTTACCTGCAGAGCTGTGTCCTCAGCCCCAGCTTTATTTTGGCTCTGGGTTCAAGAATCAACTCTTTCTTCTATAACTAAGAGAGTTATGCTATACATCATTAGCTAGCATGTCTGTGCTTCAGTTTCTCTATTTCTGCTTACTTAGTTTTTAAAAGCTGAGCTTCCATGTAGCTAGGTCGGTCCTGGACTCACTCAGAGGATGACCTTGAACCCCTCCTGCTCCTGACACGTCTACCTTGCAAGTGTCGAGATTACAGTTGTGTGCTACCGCATCTAGCAGACTTCAGCACGGGGTGGAGCATAGCATTTAGGGGTAGCTACTAAAGTGTAAGATTCCTAGATATTTCTGATGAATCTCAGAGAGGGAAGAAGACTTTTCTAGGGTAAGAATGAGGACTCAAGCCTGTCTCTTTTAGGTATTCAAGGATGGTAGAACTCCCATGGAAAATCTAGTAGTATAACATGTCAAAGGGTCTTCAGGTCTCCAACAGGGACTGCATCCTGGTGATGTACTCTGCCACAGAGGCGATGGGAGTCAGCGCATCCATTTGAAGCACCAGTAACTGCACCTGTGGGCACCGAAGCTGAAAGAGAGTCTGACTTAACACACCTTTCAGTGTTGATAGGGAAGTTCACTGCAACTCTGCCCCTCTCCTGTCCTGTTGCTCCTTTTCTTAGGTGTCCCTCCAAAATCATGCCTTGGTCCTGTGTAAGGGAGAACACTCCTCATGTCACCCTTCTGACCAGACTGCCTTCAATCAAAAATACTTTGGAAACTTGAGATTAGTTCCTGTGGGTTTTTTGTTTGTTTTCATTTTGCTTTTTGTCCAGTCTGGAAATTAAAACTCAGTGCATATGATAAGGAGAATAAATTCTTGTTCTAGCTTTGAGAGTATTGGAAGATTTTTTTTTTTTACACTATCTTAACAATCTGGGTTGGTACATATTTTTCCCTTCCCTTTCCCTTTTTCCCTGCTTCCCTCCCTCCTACTTCCCTCTGCCCCTCCCTCTTTCTTCTGACAATCTTCAAAGTTGTTGGTATGTTGCCCAGTTTAACTGCCAGCTCACGATTTTCTCTCTTACAGATAGGTATCGCTATGCCTAGTTGAGACTATTTCTTGTTTGTAGCATAAAAACACCTTAAAAAACAGCAAACTGAACATCACGGTCGTTAGCATTAAACGTGGGTTCTGATAAGCACATTAAAATTTCCTGGAGTGAGAAATTCCACCTGCTCTGTCCAGGTGAAGCAGCCATTCCAGGTTCTTAGGAGAAACAGAACAAGTTCTTGTCATGGGTTCATACTGCCAACTCAGATATGACTCAGAGAAATAGCCATCAAACCTGAGTTTCAGTCTAGTGTGGGTGTTCCAAGAGCACGATTCCGCCAAGGAGTGACTCATTTCCCCTTGGTTTGGCTTGTGGGAGTAATGAGATAATGCTCCCGTGACTGTGCCCTGGGGGTGTAAATGCCCATTACTCTATTCCATCTGATTCAAGATTCTAAATCCAGAAAGCATAGATAGCTGGAACACTGTCTAGCATCCATTAGGTTTCTAGCATCCATTGCAATTTCTGCGCAAATTGTCTTGTGCGCAGATTGAGTGACTAACAGCATCTGAATTTTCAACAAAACTTAAGATCAAAATCAGCTCATAATGGCCTGGTAAGATGGCTTGGTAGAAAAGGTGCCTGATACCAAACCTCGCCACCTGACTTGGATCCCTGGGATCCACAGAGTAGGAGAGAACTGACTCTTGTAAGTTGTTCTCTGATATTGACATACATGTTGTACCATTAATGCACCCACACATATAGTCACACACATAAAATAAAATGTAATAAAAATTTAAAAATCAGCTCATAAACTCAAGGAAATTTTGGGAAAGGATTTGAACAAAACAACATATATGCTCTTGGGCTTGACAAGAAGTAGATCTATGCATTTTCAACCATATCTATAGTTGAAACCCAAACATGAAACACATGGAAATTGACACTACAGAGGACACTGCATGTTCTGCTGCCATCATATGCTTGTGTGCGGAGATATAGGGCCTTAGAGGGCAGGATTCTGTTATAGAACCAGCCTGGGGCAAGGATTGGGCACCACTACAGAGAGTCCTAGCTTCCCTGGTTCTCCCCTGTCTGTTTTTCTCTAACACCTTTTAGCTGGCATTTCTTGTTCTGGGCACCTAATCAAAGTTCTAAGCATGATGAATGACTGGAGAGTCTCTTTGGCAACCGCTTCTACAACTTCTCTCGCCATTGTGAAAACAAGCCAAATAAAGGATTTTGTGTTTGTAGATGATTTGGTCGTCCTGAGTCTTTAAGGTTTTACGAATGATTGCATTTTTATGTAAATGATTCAGGAACCTAAAGGACTGCAAAGTCACTTTTCCAAGCAAGGCTACTGTTACCACAATCGTAAGAGAACGTTTTAATACAAAAGATAGAAAACTATGATCTCAGAATAAAAGAATGCCACCAACAGTTAGATACATATTAATATTTCACATCATTATTTCTCAGAGAGTGTAACATGATCATGGGCCAGTGTAGTTCATCGGCCAGCATGGATACAGGAGTCTGGAGTTGTTGGGCTGCTGACTATAGCCAGTGAGGTGTTTACTGCTAAGGTCTGTTGAGTAGCCATGAGGGACAAAAATTCAATTCTTGAGTTGAAGGCGATGGTGCGAGTTTTGGTGAGCTTCAGGGGAGGTGTTAAACTTGGGGGAGGCAAACTTAGGGGCAAAGGCAGGCAAGCCCAAGGACTCTGAAGGGCAGGGGCTGAGGTTCAGAGAAGTGATATCAGGGGAAACTAATTCATGCCAGGGATAGGAGAGAAAAGAAAGAAGAAAGCATCCCTGGGATGGTTTCCGTGAACTTAGGAGGACTCAGAGTGTTCTGTGGACAGGGATGAGGAATGTCATGGAATGACTGATGGATTTTAGGAGATAGATTTGATCCATTCACAGACGTATTAGTGTAAGGAGTAGTTGTTGAGCTATGCAGTACACATCACCATCGGTGATGTAGAACAAATATAGTGTAGTATTTGTTCATATGTGTGTGTGTGTGTGTGTAAATTATAAACATGCATGTTCTGACTAATTTTATGTCAGCTTGGCACAAGCTAGAGTCATTTTGGAAGAAAGAACCTCAAGAAAATATTCCCACGAGATTGGCCTTTGGGCTAGTTTGTAGGGAATTTTTTTCATTGATTATTGATGGGAAGGGTTCAGCTCACAGAGAGCAGTGTCACCCCTGGGCTCATGGTCATGAACAAGGCTTGGGGGAGTAAGCCGGTAAGCAGCATTCCTCCATGGTCTCTGTTTCAGTTTTG